AAAGCTTAGCCGTTTTGATGTTTTTTAAGTTTTGTGTTTTAAAAATGTGATAAATATTTTTTGCCTCACTTTAAAACTCGGAGCGATAAAAATAAAAATGATGCCATTAACAAAAGTAAACTATTATACATATACTCCACGTGCAAAGTCATGAGTGAGCCGAACATTTGATGAGTTTATGGTGAAAATAATGTAAATACCGCTAGCGCTTGCAGTGCTNAATGTTGAGTTCCCTGAGACTGAATTCTGGTTTGATTCCATCGCTGAGACCAGACTAACATATTGTCGAATCTTCACTGATGGCTCCAAAACTGACTCTGGGTCATGATCTGGGGTCTTTTTCGAGGTTAATGGAGATAAGCTTCGCTTTTCTGTAGGGGAATATGCTTCGGTCTTCCAGGCTGAGGTAATAGCAATACTCAAAGCCATGGACTACGTGGAGGAACATAGGTGGAGGGGAAGGAGTTTACGTGACAACCAAGCTGCACTTAAGGCATTGACCAGCCCTCTATTTAAGTATGTACTTCCAAACTAGTTCGGCAATGCAAGGCTCCACTAAAATAAGAGGGTGAACATAACGAGGTTGTTTTACTCTGGGTGCCAGGTTACTCTGGAGTACCTGGTTATGAGACATATGATCATTTGGCCAGAGTTTGCTCAGACCAGGCATTCCTCGGTCCGCAACCAGTTTTAGCACTCCCTACTTCGGCAATCGAAGCCACCATCAGAAACTGGGTGAATACTTCGCTCAGAAATGACTGAGAGGCATCGAGGTGGGCAAAACTCATGTTGCCTTCAATCTCACAAGGTCTACCTAATTGTTTGCTCTCAATGAGCAGACGACACTGCAGACAACTTGCTGGACTGCTGACTGGTCACTTCACGTGGCACAAACACCTGGCTGTGATAGGCGTAAATGACAAGTCCATTTGCCCATCTTAACTTGAAGAAGGTGAGACGGTGGAACACTTTTTGTGCTTCTTGCTTGCTTGGTTATTTGTCATTTTTTTAAACTCGCTCTCTTCTCTATTGTCAGTTTCTTAATTAAAAGTTTGGCGTAAAAAGCTTAGCCGTTTTGATGTTTTTTAAGTTTTGTGTTTTAAAAATGTGATAAATATTTTTTGCCTCACTTTAAAACTCGGAGCGATAAAAATAAAAATGATGCCATTAACAAAAGTAAACTATTATACATATACTCCACGTGCAAAGTCATGAGTGAGCCGAACATTTGATGAGTTTATGGTGAAAATAATGTAAATACCGCTAGCGCTTGCAGTGCTTTTAAAAAATATAACTCTTCCGAGCGAGAGAGTATTTTGATGTATTTACGTGCTCTATTTTTTAAAACCTACAAGTGTGTAATCACATTCTTATTATAAATAGAAAATATTTTACTTTTATTTTGGCCACTCTGATTTTAGTTTTTGAATTCACCCGCTATCTAATTTTCACATTTTCACATTTAATTTTTTTACGAGCTTTGGGAATATTTAGATATGTACCAGCAGGGGGTCCACCGAAACCAGAAAATTTTTGAAAGGAGTCTACGAGAAAGAAAAGTCTGGGAACCCCTGCCTTAAACAGACTTAAATAAAAAGTAGTGCCTCTGGAATTAAAAAAAATGTGAAAACACTACCTCTAACGCGAGTTCGGTACACAATTCCATTTATCTTTCATATCTCTCTAAATTTGCTTGTAATTTCTTTTTGCAGACTATAGTCCATTTAATTCTTAATAATATCCTAAATAAGTTCCTTTGAGAACTATCCCAAAAATTTTGATAAATCAGCATTGCTCCCTTGTGCCGAAATTTTGACGCGAGCGACGACTACCTTTTTGTTTGTATTTAATAAAATATAACAATTTGATTGAAAACGGTACGTAAAATACTATAATTACATCCGTATATTCGAACACGTGAACTCTTTTCCGTAAGCTTCAACATGCAAATGGTAATGTAATTTGCATTTTTACACATGAAGTTTTACTTCGAATGTAAAGTAAAATCAAGTGGCAAATCTAATTTAATTGATTTTTTTTTTTGCCATACATGTTTTCATGAAAACTTGTTTATCAATAAATAACGCAATAATAAAATACGAATTTATAAAAAGGAAGCCTAAACGTTGACTTATTACTTTAGTATTTTTATTATTTTTCGTGACTCTTCGTACATTTAGAAAACCTACATGCGGCTCTTATTAGACTCATGCTAGGCATCCTTGCCTTAAATAATTTAATATTTAAATTTAAATAATTTTTCTGTACAAAGCACGTGTTTATTTATTTTCAAAACCTTTTAATTATATACATACAATACATATGTATGTAAGTATTAATTTTAATATCAAAAAATCTCTTATCCTTGCCACTACTATCCTCAATGACGTTTTAATTCCAACGATTACTCTGTTCTGACTAACACATGCTCTCCGAAAAATCAAAACTTTTAATCTCCTTAATTTTCTAAATAGTTTAAAGCATTAAGTCATCATTTTGTGACCATATTTCATGCTATTACAGCTAAAAGCTAGTCGAAGTTATAATTTATCTTCTTATAAAATGTCAGCATGACAACAAATCCAATCATTTATGCAGTGTTTGTCGCAATTCAGTGTGGTCCAAAATTACATGTGAAACAGTAAAGTCGGAATTTTATTGCTTCACCCTTAGATTGTTCTGTGTCGAAAAAATATAGCCCAGTTGTTTTATTTGGAAATCGAAAAATATTTAAAGGTCACTCAAAGCGCTGAGAAAAAACACGTTTTCGTGGAAATGATATAGAATTCTTGAAAATGAATATTTCCCTTCAGGAGACTTGCATGCTTCGACTGCATGAATTATGAAGGAGATGAATAAAAAAACTTGTTAACTGTGAAAAACATGTTATTTACGTAAACCTTTATCGAAAGAAACAAGACTCCGAGCCATTTATTTTAAATTTTATCTCCCACAGAAAATACATGGAAAACTTTGAGCGCTTTGAGCGACCTCTAAATATTGTTTAATTTCCAAATAAAACAAAAAAAAAACACACTGGTATAAGTTTTTTGATATAGAGCAATCCTAGGGATGAGGGCATTAAAATTCCGAGTTTACCTTTTTTGGACCGCCATAATGTGCATACATTTCTACATATATACAGTGGCGCAAATACAAATAGGTATGCGACATTTTAACAAGCTTTTCTGTTGTTAATTTTATGTTTATTATCACTTACGAAAGTATTGCTCGTATCTAACAAAAACCACGTAGTTTCGAATTTCAAACTTTGTAAACATTTGCAAAATTCGAAAAAGTGTCATCAAGATTTCTTCTTAATTTCTCTTAATTCGAGTTTTTTGATATTTTGAGTATGCAGTTTTGTAGTCCATTCAATTTTGATATAATCAATAGTAAGTTTAAAGTAACTGGGACTTACTAATAAGTTTTGGCATTATATTTTTTGTTTTTGTTTTTTTGCGGAAATTAGTCGACTTTTTCTAATTTTTGTACAAATTTTGAAATATTTACTAACGACTAGGTAACGATTCATAAAGAGTAATACAATTTAAATAAACAAAAGAAAAATAGCGAAAACTTTTTAAAATGTTGTGTCCCCGTTTATGTTTTGTGTTGTGTGTACGGATATGCATGTAAATACATATGTATGTATATGCATTCCTTGCATGCACAACCCCACACAAGTTACGCATACATACATACGTACTTATTACATATGTACTTCCTTACGTACATACGTATTTAGATGGAACAACTCTCTTAGTGCCCGTACAGTTAAAAGCATTTTTAATGCGCAACTTAAGCTACGAACATTGAGTACTAAATGGATTTGCTCTGATACCAAATTCAATTTGTGTGGTATTTAGCTGACAAACAAAGAGCCACCAAAGCACACTTTGGACCAATAACTACATATGTGTGTTTGAATATAGTAAAAAAATTACATATGATCCGCGGGATTTGCGGGACTGAAAAAAATCATAATATTGTTTGTTCTAAGCAGTTATATTCAAAATTAATATATTAAAAAAAAAAATTATAGTTTAAAAAACTAAAGCCTCCCTATTATAATTGCCATTCGTGCTGTCATCAGGTATGTAACTTGAGAATAGAAATCGCCGAGCTAATAAATGGAAGGTAAAAAGACGAGTTCATTTAGAAAGTCTACGTATTAACTTTTAATTGGATTGAATTTTTTAATAATATTTCCGAAGGAATGATAAAGTCTATAGATTCCGACGAAAATGTCAAAATTTTCAATGTTGGGCCCTCCGGTGGAAGTTTTAAGAAAAAGATAAGTACATAAATGGACTCCTGATGCCAAAAAACCCCCTATAGCATATTTTTGTACGAAATTAAAGCACTGCTTTACGCCACTTCAGCAAAATGCTAAGAAACCTATTTTCGCAATTTGGCAAACGCCAAATTGATTTTCTTAGAATTACACCTAGAATCTTTCTGTGCTATACGCGCATAGTCCCATACAAATTGACCCGCCCTAATGCATACATAAATGTGTATATGTAAATCTACCACATTGTTTCGGAATCTACCACAATTTTTAAGGCTTATCTACCACTAAAAAAAATTACAGTCCGCACACTGAGTGAAAGGCCGGCCTCTTGACTCTCAGGAAGGCCTTTCGAATGGAATTTTTAATTCCTGAAGTTATACGCTAGGTCAAAAAATGATATATTGCACGTTCACAACTCGAATTATTTTTTTTATTTTTATTTTTTTTCTGTAGTCCCGCAAATACCGCGGATCCCGCATGTGTAATACCTCATTTCTGATCTCGAAAAAATGGCGCGGCATCCCGCCTTTACGGGATTGGATTCCCTACATATGTATGTGTATGTAATACATACCTACAACACCAACTAACGGGGTAAAAAAAGTTCAAAGACATAAATATCTGCACATATATATATATAACTATACAAGTATATACTAACGTCTTCCTGAAAATAATATTACCCTTTCTCTCTCCTTTACAGCGATCTCTCATGGACGTAAAATTTCCAACCGTCTTACCACCGAATCCGCAACTTAAGGTGAGTGAGTGCGAATGACTTTCATTTTACGCAAGTTTATAAATTTGCCCTTAAAAAAAATATTTGCCATCATTTATGAATTAAATAACACTCGTTCGTTTCTCCCATCGCATGTACAGGCTTTATTGGTTTTCCACAAGTCGGATAATATCTGCGAAGTGGTAACGGAGGCATGTCATCGACAGCAGCTCGATGTAACGGTGGCGCGTACCAAAGAGGGTGCTCTCGAGACCTTGTCCAGCACCAGTGAGGAGTTTTATCATTTAATCATAATTGACGCACGCTCTACAAAACATTTGGATGCTGAGTATATAGCCAGGTGGGTAATATACATATGTATATGCAAGTATAGTAAATGATCAAAAAGTGCATCAAGGATGTTGGTGCACATTAAACACATAACTACCAGCATATTTTCACGCACATGTACATACTTGTTTGTGTTCATACATCCACGGAAAGTATTTCGTTATGCCGTGCTCTCATCGTCACATAAATCATTGATACTAAACAATACGTGTATATACTTATGTATGTACATATGTACATACTTAAACTTTAGCAAACCTACCTCAAGAACAGCATCATTTATAGACATAATAAAGTAATAAATAAATGTATTTGATACAGTTTTTTCTTATACATTAATTAATTTTTCTGGTGACTAAAATTCACCGCTTTCACTTCAGGTCGATACGTCACACAAAGGGCCATCATTTTACGACAATAATTGCTGTGGTTAAAAAGAGGTAAGTACTTTACAAGTTATCGTGTGATCAAGCAGTTATGTATATTTTATTTTAATAAAAATCAGTACATGACTCAGTTTGACATGGTAGCGACGATACCATCATTTGAAATCTTGACATATGTACATGCATTTCCCCCATTTAATAATAGAGCATCAGCTTTTGGTCTCTGAGATATTGGACATTATTTTATAGTCAATTACATTTCTGGTAATTTAAAAACTTGACTTGAAAACTTTGGTTATTTAAAAACGAGCATAATTATTTGGTAATTCCAAAATTGGATTTTTTGGACGTAATTTTTAGCCATTTTAAAAACTAAATCGTAAACTGGACAAACATATTTCTAAATTAACAACTGTACATAAATGTATGGCCATTCAAAAACTAGACATACATTTTTGGAAATTCACATGAGTCACAAAATTTTTTGGTAATTTTAAAACTAAAGAATATTTGTAAATATTTGGTGCTCAAATACATATGTATATGGCTCAATGTTTGGCCAAGCTTCTACCGATAATACTGTGGGAACACTAAAACGACACAAAAAAACGCCGAGGCAAGGAAAGTTAATTTTGGGTCGTATATTACGGATCTGTTTGCCGTTTTTATACCCGAGCGCACTTGTGCACAAGGGTATTATAACTTTGTTCACATAACGGTTGTTTGTAACAGGCAAAACGAATCGAGATAGATATAGACAAATGTATACATAAATGATCAGAATGAAAAGAGAAATCGATTAAGCGGTGACTGTCTGTCCGTC